CTTTCTTTATATCATATGCTACAAAAAATGGTTTGATTTGTTATTTTTCCACTTTTTGAAACTGAAAACACGAAAGTGGAGAAAATTCACTGGCTTGAGTTACCGACTCTAATGGACGTTAAAAGAACACCAATATGTTTAGAATTTGAACCAATGCGATTACAGGCGTTCTAACCTTGTATATCAAAGCGTGAACGTCAACCCAAAAGTTTCAACACAACCCTAGCGTATCCCTTTGCCGCCTGAAAATGGAATACTGGCCATTTCCGCTTGCAAATGAAGATTCTTGCATTTTTATACGAATATGCTTTTGCCATATTGCTTTTTGTTGTTGTGTGTATTCATGGCATCAATTGGGAGGGAGTTCTGCCCTAAGACTTTTTGTTCCTCAAGGTCTGGCTTTGTTCCCTGTAACCGAAAAGTGGTACTAAATAGCTTTTTTTCTTCTTTTTCCGTTTCTCTCGCCTACCTACCACTCATGAAAAGATGAAATGACGATTCTGACTGTATTGTATTGTATCGTGTAAATTCAAATATTGTTTTGTAGAAAATTCTTCATTCAAATATTCAAGAACTTATTTAAGAGTGACATAAGAAATGTACAGCCACGGCCAAGACTCTTGTCAAACTAATTTCGAATGCCGTTTCGAACATCCGCTTATTACCACACTTTTTGTATGGAGAGACAGATTCGAAGCTTCAATTCATGACCACCACTTGTTCGTCACTGTACGTATAGAAACTATACAGTCGTCGCATCCTGCCATGGATCTTCTGATTGAATTTTATAATGAAGTCTATCAGTAGAAATCTGAAATGAGGGAAATGTGGTTAACGTGTAGTTGTTTCATATTCTTTAAAGAAGAGCTGTTTTGAATAGAACAAAAATTGGTTCACTGGAAAAGGACAAATTCAGAAAATCAAAATGTTGAGCTGCCTTTGCAATACAAATGAGGGTTATCATGGTTGTTGTTGTTATTTTTTCTTGTACTACTATTATCATTGTTGTTAGTTAATATCGTTTACTGTTATAATGTTATACTTTGTTTTGTATTATAATATTATTGTTTTTCATTATCTTTGTATAATCATAGCATTGTTATACTTGTATCATTGTTTTAATTATTCCATTATCATTACTATTATTGACGTTATTATTATTATTACTTTGCCATTATTATTACACTTATCATTATCTTCTTTACTATCATTATTATTATCTTAACTTCGAACCTCTTCTACTATGTCCAAATACTTTTTTCATATAGATATGTTTATCACTGTCAGATACGTCTGGCAGTGCTGTTCCCTGGAACGGTGAACATATCATAGTGTATATACAATTAGAATAACAAAGGACAATAATGAATGAAAATAATTACCATTATCATAATAATTTATTATTATTTATATCTTATCCTCATTATCAGCATCACTATTATGAATTCTATCATCACAAATGTAACCAAAGGAGATGAATATAAAGTAGTAAAAAGAGTAAAAAGAGTGTTGAACAACGATGATAAGATAAATACATTGACGATAATGCTAACATTATGAACAAAAAAAATATAATAACACTCCAAATGTTCAAATAGTTTAATTCTCTTAAATATCTTGAGAATGCGCTTCCGCGATTCTTCTTTCGTCGCTGTCTTCGCCGGCGACTCCCTTTCCTCGTCCTCATTCAGCCTCGGCGTCTGCGGGAGTAAGACATAGCTGAGTCAACAGACGCTTATATATCGCCTTGTAAGTTTATTTTATTTATTTGAAATTTCTTTGGTTATTGAATGTGTGATATAGTTATTTGGGTTAGGGAGGTACGGGAAATTTTTTTTTCTTGAAATATGTTGCATGTCTTTTTTTTATTCAGGAGTCATGCTGGTCCCACGTGGCGAGCATGGAGGGGTTTAGGAAATATTTTATTGACAAGATTCCCTGACTTTAAACCATATCTAACCTATTTCAATCGCATTTACTCCCCACTAGGTATTCTAGACCTGAATTTTACTAAGAATGTCAACTATACTTTTATTATTGTTGCACTTGTTACCGGTACGATTACAGTATTTTGCATTTATTACTTAGTTTTATTAGTTTCTACTCGTATGCTGCTTTCGAAATGTTCGATCCCAGAGTCTCATGCGAGATAACAAGGCTCGTATTGTGCTAAGTGGTATCGTAGAACAAACCAGACATTTTTGCAGGGTTGGGTGTTCTTTTTCACTTCAACCTCTTTAATGGGTGTCTACATTACCTTTTTAGGAGGTATTAGAAGTCGACAATGGGAGTATTAGGGTGATAACCAATTATTTCTTTTATTGCAGGTTTGGTGGAAGAGGTACTTGCATATTCACCATGAGTGGAAGACTTGCAAGTGGACCACGGAAGTGGAGTCCAATATGTGATGGAAGATTTTGTACAAGGTAAGGATCTTTTAAAGTCTGTTATTGATTGAAGCATTGTAGGTCTTTAGGTATTAGTCTTGTGTTGAAATTACTGGTTTTCAAAAAAATGGATTCCTTTGCCATTAGTTGGTGTGAAGTTTGATAGTATATGCTAATTTATGGATAAGTAAACAAACTTTAAGATCATCAAAGGGAGGCAGTGGTCCTATAGTTAATGTGCAAGCATCTTCATCGCCCTATGTGTACTTCTGCATGTTCCATACACATGAAGCAACATTATCTGCTAATTTCCCCCTAAAGTTGGTACCTTAGATTTCTTATGGCCATGTATCTTCCCAGAACTGAAGGGACGGGTTCTTCTCAAATCCCATTCCTGCAGTGCTCTACCATAGCAATACCAGTAGATGACAATTCAAGTGTTTTTTTACCATATAGAAATAAATTGCAATAATTGAGCAGTAACACTGAATAGTAGGACCTCCTTAAATGCTCAAGGTTTACATTACCAAGAGTGACGCACAGAAATAAGGGAAATGGACACCGCCATTTTAAAGGGCACAAGAACTAGTAAAAACCAACATAGGTACAGCTGCAGAGACTTAATGTAGACTTGATACCACGAAAGGATAACTGCATCATGTCAATGCTCACTGTCCACAACACCCATATAGGGCCAGGGTTCTTAGTACTTTAAGATAACACAAATTGCTAACAAGGAGGCACAAGGTGGGGTGCTTGCCCTCATGTCTAAGAGGTTTGGAATATATAGGCTTTGGTCTTTGGTTTGCACGATACCCTGACTTTGAACTTGGTCTCTGAAGGGTTTTGCATTCGGTAATTACCACTGGTTGAAATAAAACCAGGTTGGTGTGGAGTGTTAGGGAAGGCAGAGATCGGAGGAATAGTGAAGCACGGGCAGGAATAATCTTGGTACATAGTTCTATAGTTACATGATCTGCTTGATAATGTTAATGCAGTAATTCTCATTACTGTGATGGTTTGGTCTTGGTGTAAAGTATCCCCAAATCGTATAAAATGAGAGCATCAGCATAACATTGATCTTCTTGTAATCAATTGTTCATTGTTCCAATCATGACTTGGCATTAATTCTGAAGTTTTATTAACACAAGGGATGGTAATATGGTCTTTGATAAATATATGCACGTGGAATGAATCTTTAGTGAATGTAGTGTTAAATCTTGACAGACCAAGCCATTAAAATTTGAGGTCTGTCTCAAGCAAGGTGTAAACTTGTGTAGAATGCTCTTTTGTAAGTGTCCCTTTCCCACAGCCTTTGTTTGAGGATCTTACTAGTAAGTATTTTAAGATTGAACAATGGTATTCAAGTTTACTACAATTCTTTTTGAAAACCAGAATTTCATGATCACACACACGTTTAAAATTTCAACGTGCAGGACCTAGTTTGATACTTTTACTATGATGACAAAACTTGGGACATCTTACGATTGCTAAGACAAAAATGAAAAACACAATCTGCGTACCACTGAAAATACCATGGCAACAGATGTAAAATTTATTACTTGAAGTGTTCCTTAGTGTTCTTGTATTTGCAGGAACAGTTGGCTTTGTATTCGTGTACCTGAGGAAGTTGCAACCAGATCAGGAGGCTAGCATTTATAGCTATGGATCATGAGGTAAGTACAGTTTTGTTGCAAATATTCTCTACCCTTCAGTGATGACAAAACTTGGGACATCTTACGATTGCCAAGACAAAATGATAAAAACACAATCTGCGTACCACTGATATTTGTTTTATCCATTGCATTTAATAGTTTGTGTGGAGAGATTTCTAATTGCATAACTTTTTCAGGAATAAGCAAGACCAGTGCAATTTTAACCTGTACCTGAATAAGGTGTACATGTTCAGAGGCCAGTTCTTTACACAAGGTCAGTATATAGTTTATGGTAAACATAGCAAATTGTATCCTTTCAATGATGACAAAACTTGGGACATCTTACGATTGCCAAGACAAAATGATAAAAACACAATCTGCGTACTACTGAAATCTCTTGGAAGAATTAAAAAATGCTTACTTTAGAAAGTATTCTTATTGTGCTTTATACTTGCAGGGACCGAGTGCTTGTTCTCAACCAAGTTGCATGCAAGTCGGAAGACTAGTTTACATCACTTATAGATCAGGCAAGTAAAATAATTGGTTTATATATTAATTATCCTTAAATGATGACAAAACTTGGGACATCTTACGATTGCCAAAGGCAAAATGATAAAAACACAATCTGCGTACCACTGAAATTGCATTATAGATGGGGTTAAGATTTTTGTTAAATTGTTCCTAATTGCATTTATTTATCCTTAACAGATACCAGAATAAGGGATGCAGGTCAGCCAGATCTATTATACTTGACCTATTAAAGGTAGGTGGACAGCTGTGTTATACAAGTAATGTATCATGTTCAAATGATGACAAAACTTGGGACATCTTACGATTGTCATAGACAAAATGATAAAAACACAATCTGCGTACCACTGAAATAAGCTGTTTAGGTTTTACCACATCTTTGCTTGTCAAATAGCTCCTCATTGCTATTCTTTTACAGAAGTCTTGGAAGGGGAAAGGCCAGTCTGTTCTACGAAATTACATAAAGAATTAATAGGTAAATATTTTTAATTATGATATTCTATTAGAAAAGGAAGTTAATAATTCAGCTTTCCATTTTCAAGTCTTCCTACCCCCCCCCCCCCCAGAATGACCTAAATTTGGTTTTAGAAATGCTATACTTTCAATGAAATTTGGTTCTAAATTGATAATTAGAATATTCATTGAAAAGATTTTAAACTTTGTATGGCAGTTGCTGCTCTTTTAACTTACTGATGATAAAACTTGACCAGAATATCCTTGATGGTATCAAATGCTCAACAGGACTGATGTTAAATGTAGGAATAGTGTTCCAGACTATTTTGGAGGTTACTTTAATAAAGTGTTCTTTTCCAGGTCCTGCATTAGTGGCATAAGCATTGAAAGGGACTACAGAAATGGTAATTCTTGGCACAAGCCTGTCAAAATTTTTTTAACATGATGATTGAAAGGGACCTCAAAATATAATGTGGATAAAGTGAATTCCTCGTTTCTGAATTTTCATGGAAAAAAAATAAGTATTATAATCTTTTATTGCATTGTAATGTAAGACCTTTCTTTCTTTTTCAGGCTTGTCAGAATTTAACGCACCTTTTCTCCATTAAAAGGTATGTTCCCCCAAAATTAATTTCTTGCCTTGTGCTTTATATGATGATTGTTATCCCTGTCTCAACAACCATGTGGATATTTCATGTACTGATAAATGACCAGACAATGGATGGAAGCGAAATCTGAACTTGGTTTAAAAGTACATTATATCTTTGTAGGATTGTGGCGATATTTGATGCAGACTACTAAACGTGACCCCTTTTAAGGTAAGGAAGAGGAAGAGAAGGTGGATGGAATTATGAAAATGATGAATCTAAGTTACCTTCCTTAGATGTCTGAATAGTCTGAAGAACACTAACAATTCTGAAAGATGGATGAATAAGGAATACAATAATGTAACTCTGAACTTGTTAATAATTGGAAATATTTTTCAGATTGGTATCCAGTGGAACGTGTTAATGGCATGATACCCAGTTTGATTGCTTTAAATTATGCAGAGGTAAGCAGGAAAAAAGGGTTACTGTTAAAGGCTTTATCTAGATTTTAAAATTTACTTCAGCTTGTGGACTTGTTGGAAAATAAAACTGAACTGATGCATGTATACTAGTGTTTGGGTTTAAAATCTTAGATGTAATAAGGACTATTACTTGTTATCGTGTTGGAAATTTATTCATTACACTATGATGCCTATTTGAACAATCCTGTTCTGAAAGTAATGAAGAAACCTACCATCTGATGATTTTATAAGGGCAAAGAGGCACAATGCATTTTGCATGAATTTAACACCCTTTCTCTTACAGGAATTGGTCTGTCGTCGGATCTTGGATAGAACTTCATCCAGCATTCTGCACATGGGAGTTTCCTCCTTAACCACCTGGCTTCTAAATAAACCAAATAAACCTGGTTAAGGTTTTTATTTTATCCACTTAAACGTGTCTTGCAAACTTAGTGAAATTGACCCATAGTTAACAAAGAGTAGTCGACTAACTCGGGTGGAAAGGTTTGTCATTCCCTCTTACCCTTTCCACTATCATACTAAGTCAACTTTTGGCAGATTATCATTAATCGGGACTGAAACCCCTGCTTTGGGCCTAGGTCCCGACTCCACTAATTTTACATGGTCTCTTCTCCATCCAGCTCTTTTTTTCCGTCCCTTTACATACCTATCTACTTAAAGTTTAAGAGTGGTGCTGAAATGATGAAAAGCTGACTTTGGTATGTACCAGTCCTAAACGGCCTGAGGGAGCCATGGCATGGTATTTTTTTAGTTTAGCCATTACCCCTCAAGGGGACCCTGATGGGTGGACTGTTTTTCCCCAACATAGTCAGGGCTTCCCCTGGCTGGTAACTAGATTAATACCCCACACTAAGTCTTGCCCTCATAAAATGGCACCACCAATTCAAGTTCTCCAGGCTCCCCGACACCAGGTTCTCCTTTGACCATACTCTGAACACAACTACCCATTCCTCAATGCCTACTAGTGCATTATCCACTATTAAAACCAACCAAATGGGGAAGTTTTTTTCATGACAACCCCCCCCCCCCCCAACAGCTTGGTCAACACTTCTTTCAAAACAGTCTCCAAAAGCAAGTGGGCAGTCCTTCCATACCTGACCCTCCCGTTTCGTTAGTTACATATGAAATTGAAGCTATATCTGACAACCCCATTCAACTCTTATCTCCCCAGTAAGTTGCCCTATGGATATCGATTGGTAAGATTGAAGTACTTACTCGCTGCCTCAAAGACCGTGGTGCTGTCAGGTTCATCGAAAGAAAACCCCGCCAAACATTGCTAAAATCAATTTAGTTTCCGTACACAAACCTTCCCTTCGTATTCTGGTAGACAATCCCTCCCTGTTCGACCATACCAACACCACCTCCGTCAATGTCAAACTGTTGGCACTTTGGACACCCTGCCAAACACTGCCGTTCCACAGACCGATGCCCACTGCCAAACCCGGTCATAACGATCAAACTGCTCTGCGCAAACCCGCTCATGTGCTAACTGTGGCTACCCTCATAATGTAGATGGACAGCCTCTACAAAGTAAAAGTCCGAGTCTGAGGTAGCAACTCGGATACAAAAATTCTCGCTACGTGAAGCCAGACAGGAAACGTCTCTCATACTCCCTACTCTAGTAATGCCGCTCACTCTGTCCCTCCCCCTCCAACCCAGGTATTTCCTACACCCCCATCCACTTCCACTTCTACCTTCCCCAGTTAAATTCTTTTGCCACTCTTAACTACAGCCCCAACACCGTCCCCTCTCCCTCCCCGCATCAGACTAAACGTTCCATACCTTTGTCTTTGTTCCTCCGACACGTCTCCTCTTCCCCTTCTCATGAGAGAAACCTTTGTCTCAAGACTCTCCAACCAACTCCACTGATATATTATGGAAGATATTCAAGCTATATGCCCGAGACAAAATTCCACAAATGCTCCGCCACATTCGAGTGACTGCCATTATCCATCTCCACTCCTATTTCCACTATATCCCTCTAGGATATACATGAATCCTTCATGTAGTTCCTTTACCTAGACACCATAGCCCATTCACACAAATCATTTACCCCTCTTTAACCTTTCAAGATTAATCTAGATGGTTGACGCATAGCAACAATCGCCCTTCACTACTACTAATATACCTTCCTATAGTGGTATGACCTTAAATGTCCAGCACATATTTTGCTTAACCATTTTTTTATCAGATGCAGTATGAAAATTTCTTACATATTGCAGTTCGATATCTTGAGTTCCATGAGTTCAAAGGAAAGTGCTTTTTATTAGTACTGAACCTTTTTCAAAATTTACTTTAACCTTTAACCCCCACTCTTCCTATTCTTTTGCTGTGTCGTAGAGGGGAGCCGGGAGTAAGACGAGGCCATATGTAAGGCACCTCCCCTGCCTTGGACCTAATTTTGGATGGTGTTTACTTCTACCACTTTCCTTTCTCATCCCTTCACTCCAGTTCATATGGTATGAGAGCCCTGGTGAGCGGCCTCCGGTAGAAATGGGCACAGTATACCTTTGATCAATTTGTTACAATTTCAGGCTCACCATGGCCAGTAATGACTATATACCCTTATAGTCATTAAACACTCGTTTCTATATGAACTAGCCAATATAAATTTGAATTCATTGGTTTCCAGACCCCTGCCTCTTTGCCATGGCTCGACCACTAAAATAATACCACCACCTGTTTCCAAACCACCCACCCAGATTACTCAACCTTCAGAGTGCACCTCTTCCCTTTTCTCAATATTTTCCATCCTCAGTACCTCACTCCCGTCCTCGTCTTTCTACCACCACCACCTATGCAAACCCTTTGAGTACTTTGGCCCAGCCAAGTGGGATGGATTCCTTGAGCCCTGCCCTTTATTCAGATACCATTCTTTTCCAATGTCTCCAAAAATCAGTACGCAAATTGCAAGACTAGCTCCCGTATATATGACCTTTATGAAATTTTGACTGGTGTTCTGCCCTGTCCGACCATATTGATACCCTCCTCGTCACTGTCAACAATGTTTACTTTTTAGCCACTCAACCAGCCCGCTACCCTCCATGTGCCCAACCTAGTCATGACAGCTGAAACTGCTCTGCTGTCACATATGTATGCCAATTGTGGTGGCTCCCATAATGCATTTTATAATAACTTCCCTGCCTACAAACTTGAACCTCCTATAGCATTCTCATTCATAATAGGCATCCCGTAAGAGCGAGAGGAGGAACGCCGATATTTTTCTCTATTCCAAAACTGTCCTTCACTCTGCTCCCTCCTATCTTCTCAATGTCTTGGAGTAGAGGTAGGATGGTTCAGGATTGAGAGAGAGATGCCCTCTCCCCCAGTCAAATCCCAATACTCCCATATCTAACACTTCCCCGATGCCCACCCTTCACTTTACCTGTCGCTCCAGGCAACTTAAAGGTTCCACATCTACACCCTCCTCTGTTCCTCAAATCTATCCCTTACCCTCACAAGAGAACCTCTTTGTTTATTAGACTTCTAACCTACTCTCCTGAAAACCTTGAAGCCATTCAACATACTCTATCCTCTCCACCTCCTGATCTTTAATCAGTTTTCGCCAGTACTATTAGAAATCATCTACCTCATCTACATCTGTCATTAATGGCAAAGCTCCCCCAAGTAAGGAAATATACAGCTCTATGAAAAGTATATGGGCAAAAAGGTAAGGAGTTAGCATTTGGGACTGTTTGATGCTAAAGGTTAGAGCGCTGTAGGTTAGTATGGTAGTGAAAAGGGCAAGAGGGAATAGCAAAACAGTACGAAAGCCATTCAGGACTAAAAGCCAGCCTTACATCCTTCCAGTACAACTCCTACACTTATACAAAAGGGGATGAAGAGAAGGAAAACGAAAGGGAGAAAATATGTAAAATTAGTTATGGCGAGGGCTAAGGTGGTCCCCACACTGGAACCTAGTCTCGTCTCCTATGCCCCCATCTACCAATAGGCATGGTAGGGGGGGGGGGGGGGCCACATACTTTATGCTATAAAACCTTTAATGTCTAGCAAATTTGTTTCTACCATTAACCACTCAACTTTTATTTTGATTTGTAGCTATAAAGATCAATCTTGATGAACTAAAAAATGTGCAATATTACTGTATTCTGCCTACAGCATTGGCACAATACTAGGTCAAGATGAAACTACCAAAATGTTTACAAGTAACTACCTTGATATACTGGTGTATTTGCTGTTGGTAATTTTCATCTTCAATTCAAGTATACACAGACATTTACTTCAAAATAAAACGTAGGAAAAAAAATATGCCCGACTTTTGAACATCGCTAATATGGCAGACCATGATCCCTACATCTACCACATAATACAAAAGGACAATTTTCTCTTATCCCTAATCTACCAATTTTCGAATATTAATTTGCTTAAGTGGTGAGTGACCGATTTTTTGCAGGTGAATAAATTTTTAAAGTGCATTTTTCTTTTCCCTTACATTAAATTCTCAACTAAGTGCCTTTGTCATGTAAAAATTTTCAATTATGTTCTTGCAGTCTAGACAGACTTTGGAATTACAAATCTTATTTGCACAGTGCAAAATTTCAGGAAATACAAAAGAGGCTTTTAATAAAAAATTATCATCCAAAGTTTACAAAAACAGTTTATAAATACATTTCTTTAGGCAATCACACTAACATTATAACATGTCACTGCAACCTGTAGAATACACTACAAAAATTCCAATTACTTCATCCTGTCTTTTTTTTAAGTACATTTCGTGATCCTTCCTGTCGAACCATTCTTTTCTTGTCTGGATCAGCAAGGTTTCCAGTATCTGTCACAGGAGGAAGAGAAATTTAGTACAACACAAAACTACAAATTGCATCATTTTTATATACGAGTTTCAGACTATTATACCATTTTGATTCCACAACATAAAGTTATCTTGTTTTGTATGTTATAATCCTTACTAAAAATTTTAATCTACCATCAGTATCAAAATTCAATCTACAATCAACCCATTAACTATTGAAAATTAAGTATTTTTCTAGTGTTGCATATCTTACACAAACAAAAGCATTTAAATCTACTTGCCTTTGAAGTTCTGAAGTAAAGTATCAATTCCAACTCACTGCTTCCTTACTGCAATAGGAGGGGGAGGGGGTTTAGTAGAATCGACCGAATCTTATTGTTATTCAAGTCTTTGAAACTTTTTCAGACGTAAAGGATTATCACACTGTCTCGGATCCACAACAGTGGGTTCAACCATTTCTGGCTCTGCTGTGTAGCGACCCTCAACTTCAAGTGCTTTAACTATCATCACAAACTCGATTCTATAGAACAAGCCATCACATCCTATTAGAATGAACACAATTGGCACATGTATATTGCTGAAATGTCTTCCAAGATATCAAAGTATATCCTTTCAG